CTCTCTCTCTCGCCTTAGCTAGGCTTTCCTTTGGCTGAATTGTCATGGCAGCTTCCCACCTGGCATCCTGCCTCTCATTTGGTCCCACAACAGGCCCATTTGCACAGAGCTGCTAAAACAACCTTTCTAAAATGCAAAATGGAGTTCATTACTCTTTCCTTCCACGTAGCTTTCAGGACAAAGTTCAAATCTCACAGCTGAAAAAAGAACTTTCACAGATTAGCACAAGGATTTGTCACCACTTTCCATTTAATTGTAGTCAGAACCACCTCAAAGTCACTGGAGGCATTCTTGTATTTTGACTATTAATACAAGAAAGTTATTTTTAAATAATTTCAAATTTATAGAAAAATTGAAAAACTAGTAAAAATCCCTCTTGTATTCTTCACCTAGATTTACCAATTGTTAACATTTTACTACATTTGTACTCTTTTTTTTCTCTCCCATGTCTCTCTCTCTCTTTTTATTATTTGTTTTCAGAACCACTGAAAGTATGTTGTAGATGTATACCCTTCTTTATCCCTAAATACTCTAGTGTGTATTTCCCGAGAGCAAAGGCATTTATTTACCCAGGGGCAAGTTATCAAAACCAAGAAATTTTGCTTTGATATAATAGCATTACCTACTTTACAGAGCTTACTCAAATTTCACCAGTGTCATTCGCACTTGTGTGTATGTATGAGCTCAGGGATTACCCTGGCCTGTAGTTGTTAGATCCCTGTGGTCTCCTTTGATCTGAATACTTAGGTTTTCCAGCCTCTAGGGAGTCTTTCAGTCTCTCCTGTCTTCTTAAAATACTCATTCCCTCTTTATTCATCTAGTTAATTCTTTAAAACTAGCCTTCACATGATTTACCAGACCCTCCAATCTGATTTTCCCAGATTTCCTTTCCTGTTGCACCATAAGAAAACTTTCATCCTTGCTAATCATACTGCCTGTCTTACCTGATTTGTAAACCAATGTACACACCAAAATGCTTGGAAAAAAGGTGTGAACTCAATACATGTATTGAAAATATTTTAATAGGTGACTGCTCCCATGAATGAGAGTGTGACATTTAGAGATTAATACCCCCCAATAGATAAAGTGCTCCTTTGGATTTGTAAAAGTGTGGGGCAGTGAGCTTGTGGGAATATGAATTGCTGTCATTTATAGAGATGGTAGCTGGCAATATATAAAAACAGTAAACTATTTTGTTGTGTGTATATGGTACTAGGGATTGAACCCAGGGGTGCTCTGCCATTGAGCTATATCCCTAGCCTTTTTACTTTATTTTTTAGATCTTGTGACAGGATCTCTCTAAGTTACCCAGTCCGACCTTGAACTTTTGATCTTCCTGCCCCAGTCTCCAGGGTAGCCGGGATTATAGACATGCGCCTCTACACTGTCTGTAGAGAACAGTTAATTTAAAGAACTAAAAATACTGTTTGGGGGCTGGGTTCACCACCCCCCAGCACTTGGATGTGTTCCTGTTCATCAGCCTTGAACTGTTATGTTGAATTTTTATAGAAGCATCATTATGAAAACCTGACTGATTAAATCATTAGCAGTTGCTTTATCATCTCAAGTTCAACTCCTCTCCCTCCCCAGAGGTCAGAGGGTACAGTTGAGAGTTCAAATCCTTTATCATATAGCTGGTTCTCCCTAAAGCCTCCATCCCTTGGCTATCTAGGGATCCCAACCACCAGTCATCTCAGTAACATACAAAAGACATTCTTATCTGTCTAGAACTCTAAGGATTTGAGGAGCTACATACCAGGAAACTACAATGAGACTAAATATCACACAAGGAAAAGTGGGGAAGCAATGTAAGTCTGAAATACAGCTGGGTAGCTCATATGTGGTTCAGTTCAAATTGCCATTCTGTTCTAACTGTCCATTGCCGTTTTGTCCTTTGCCCAATTATCTTTTGTTGAATAAAACTATTGAATAAATTATAAGAACGAGTGACACTAAATGGTCTGACATAAAAGCAAAACACATGAAGAGCATTACATTGTTGACTTCACTGAAATTAAGCATGTGAGTCCCTCTGTAGTTTAAAATTGATGAGCCATGAATCTAGCAAATTGAACAAATTTTGGCAAATATGATTTATATTGTGGATATAGGCAGAGATGTTTTCATGGACCTTGTATTTATTTGATCTAACCTTTTTTGAGGGGTGTACATCTACAATGTACGCAGAAAGAACAAAGTAAAAACAAATGTTTTTATGGTTGGGCTTGTCCTTCTGACTATCCTAGTTCACAGAGCAACCCAGCCAAACAATCTCCTGTTTCTATGGAGGCAGTGTGCTGTGGGAGAAAGAGGATGAAAACAAGCAAACAAACAGTGAAAAGAAAAGAAAAGAAAGAAAAGAAAAAAGCCTAGGCTTTAGGGGAGGAAAAGCACAGGTTTGAATGTTCCTCCACTTAAGAGTGTTGCCACGGGCAAATGTCTAACTCTCTGAGGTGTTTTCCTCATGCTGAGGTGATTGTGGGGTTTGCTGTGCTCTAAAAAAGATAGCACAGTGCCTGGCATGCATTAGGTAATAGAACACATAAGCACACGGTTGAGTTTCTTTCTAGTTGCACTGTCATACTTATACCTGCCCGGCAACATCCTAGGATTTTTCTTTTGGAAACCCTGATTTTAGGAGTGAAATTGGCTTAGAAACAAAGGGATTTATGTAACCACATTAGCAACTTTCTATATTTCACCTACAGTTGACATCTCTGCTCCGCTCAGTAGATTCTTTAGTTTCCCGTCATGAAGGTGGCTTTCTCTGCCCCTTTTTCTGCCTTTCTGTGTTGAGCAGTAGTGTTTTAGCAGGGTAGCATCCTTAAGTCTGCATTTGCGACAAAGGAGACAGCAGCTTCTGCTAAAGTGGTTTTCTGTCTGTGTTCTGAGTCTGCTTGACTGATAAGAGATCAGAAACAGCGAGTGGCCTTTGAAATTGAGGCACTGGCTGTAGTGAGGAAAATGAAAGGATCTTATGTTTTTGATCAAAGGATGATATCTTCCAACTTGAAAAGGGGGTTATTCTGCCTGCCAAAGCCTATGATACTCTGTTACTTACCCTGGGGAAGAAGATTCAATTTCATAGCTGTTATATTACTATATAGTTAAAAATATATTTATAGATATCTACTCCCTTGGCCGCTTTGTTTTCTCTTCCAAACTCCTGTCCTCCAGTTTGGCCTTCTCATAAACTCCCTTGTGATTTTTAACCTGAATGGCAATTGAACAATTCTTTTCATCCTTGATCATTACTGAACATTCACTACTAAAGAGATGACAAGCTTTAAACAAAGGGGGGAAATTAAAAGAAGGATGCCATGTTGAAAGGTAGGCTCCTAATGGAATGATTTCTGGTGTCACTTTATAAGCTGTAGCTTCAGACTAGTAATGAAACTAGCTGAAGGAGAGGCATGGGTGTGGAAAGGGCAAGGGTGCCAACATGAATCTACTATTACCATGCTAATCTGTGGGCATCCAAATGACGGGAGAGATGCTCAAGAGAAAGAAGAAACAGATAAAGGACATAAAGGGATCGGAAGCATTGGATCAGAGAGGAGGCTGTATATAACTGAGAACTGGGAACAGCATGGCTGAAAATTAGGCAAGGATGGACAGATAAGAGACAACCAGTGATCCATTCTCCCCGAAAGACTGCATTATATTATAGGCAGCCCAAGGGCCCTTGTGGGAGAGATGGTAGATTTTTACTGTTGTTAAGTTATGTTTCTAGTTCACCAGTCATAAAAGCTGACTCTAATATTTGACTGTATACATATATACATATGCACACTCATATACATTGAATATTGTCTTATTTAATGTAAACGTAACTTTTGCTTGTAATTCACATTATTTGTTTTTCCTATCTAATCAAGGTAGAGAAATTGCAGTTTTCTCGATATACCTCTCTTCCTAAATACCTTTTCTTTGTCCATATCCTTATTTCACTCTTACTCCTCCTACCAATGACAGCATAGTCCAGTATGCCAGTAACTGAGCACTTGAAACAAGATTGGTGTAGATTGAGATATGCTAAAAGTTTAAAATGTATAATGAATTTCTAAGGCTTATATGAAAAAAGAAAAGTAAAATATCTCAACAATTAATATTATATTCTTAAAACACTATCACAATATTAATTATAATATTTGGGATATAGTAGGTTTAATACCACCTGTTTCTTTTTATGTTTTAAATGTGGCCCCTAGAAAATATAAAATTACATTTGTGGCTCACATTATATTTCTAATGAATGAACTTCTGGAGACCTTCATACCTCTTCTTTTAAAGAAAAAAATTGGGGTCACCCAGAATGAGTTCCCAGACAGCTTACTGTATTCTTCACAAAGACATACTAACTACCTACATTTGTCTTCTCGTGATAGACTCAAGGAGTAGTTAAGAGCCGACTGCTAGAACTAGATTGCCTGGGTTCTAACTCTGGATTTGTCACTTGATACCTGTCTGATCTTCGCCAAATTACTATATTTCCCTATGTGATATATGATCTGTAAAATAAAATGAAATACAAGAATAATTACATGATTACTACTTCATGGGATTATTACATTAATTAAATCAATGTATGTAAAGCACTTCAAACTGTGTGTGGCTCAAAGAAAATGATCAATTTTCTTTAGCTACTTTATTGTTAACTACTTTATTGTTCTTTGAAATCTAAGAGAAAGGCATCTACCCTCCACATCCTGAGGGATTTCAGTATCTTATGTCCCCTTTTATTCTCTTGCTCTTTTTTCTCTTTCTTCCCTCTCTTAATCAAGCTTTATGAAACCTACCTTAAAATTATCTTGAGCTGACTTCTCCATTTGTTTTCCTTCTTATGTATGTCCTGCCTTCCACAACCCCAGCGATCTGTTTATTATTTATCTTTTCAATTGACAGAAAAAATTGTATGTATTTATCATATATAACCTGATATTTTAATGTATATACACATTGTAGAATGGTTAAATATAGCTAATTAACAGATGCATTACCTCACATAGTTGTCATTTTTGTGATGAGAACACTGCTTTTCTTCAAGAATATTTTACACATGTGTTTCTGGACCTGGAGCTGCAGGACAGAAAGGATCAGGTTCATTCCTTGTAGCATAGGAAGCAAGAAAGTTGAAGACAACATCTGGAACAGAGGTGGGGTCACAGAGAGAGGGAATAGTCATCAGATCAAATGGGTACTAAGCAAAGGACAGAAAACACTTGGGGTTTGTGACTTGGGATGGGGAAGAGGAAGAGGAAAATGCCAGTTTGGACTGTCTCATCCCCAGGGCACTGATACATAGGGCTAGAAATAATGTTTGAGGGTGGTGTTGGTTTATCTGTAGGTGTACAAGTAGGCACAAATGCATATATCTGTTTATATAATTATAAAAGCCAAAGTTAGTGGTCCTTCCATAGCCTTTTGAGATTTATCCAACTTCTCACTTTAGGTTTGCATGTTCTTCCATCTTTCCTCTTGTCAAAGAGTGGGAGAAGGATCCTCAAGCATGCTTGGACCTCAGCAAATTAGGCTGATAACCAGAGGAAAGGTCTAGTTAGCTAGAGCTAGGTCTGCAGGATCCTCTTGGATGCAGGCCCTACTGAGAGAGGTTGTTTGTACTAAAACAATTCAAGGTGACACTAGGTATGGGAAACTGGGACCAGGCATTTGGTGTCTAGTTAGGGGTGACCTATAATCCAGGCCATAAATTAAACTCTGTGGAATTAGTGGAGACCAAGAAGTGGCCAGTGAGGTAAGATGAAAACAAAGAAGGGAATGTCCTAAAGCTTAGTGAAAATAGTATCTTAATGAGGAAAGAGTCATCAACTGGATCAAAATAAGATATGACTAAGTATTGATCATCATGGACTTTGACAAGGACAGATTTAGTACAGTGGTCAGGGTAAAAGTTTGGGTAGAGTGGTTCAAAGAGAACAGAGAAGTGTTGAACATAGTGAGTATGGCTAACTTTTTCAAGGAGCTGACCTATAAAGAGTTGAAAAAACACAGCCATGGCTAAATGGGCAAGCAGAGTTAAGAGGAAGGTTTTCAAGATGGGAGTATTCTAGAATACTGGTGTTAAGAATCCAGGAGACAGAAAAAATGGTGATGTAGAATAAAGTGAGGGGTTGCTGGAGTAATATACCTGAACCAGTGGGAAGAGAGAACCTCGTGTATGTTGTAGGATTATCCTTTACTGTAAGTATGAGTTGTTCCTTCTGGTAGTGACAGAGTATACAATATATGGGCACAGATGCAAGAAAAACAGTAACTGTTGGGACTTTAGACCTTCTCTTCTTGTAGCTTCTATTTTTCAGTGAAATAGGAGGCAAAATCACTGACTGAGGTTGAGGATGATAGAGTCAGTGTCGGAGATTTGAAGAGTGATAATAAAAGTATTGAATAGTTGCCTGGGAGAGAGAATGGACAGGAGAAATAAAATATAATTTATGGGCAGCATCAGGAGCCCATGTATTCTGGTAAAATTAGTTATCATGGATGCAGAGAACTGGGTTTAAACCATGTTGCCATTTTCCCTTATGAGGTTCTGTGGTAAGAGAAGGACAAAGGGCAAGGGTATGTACAAGTGAGTAATTAAAATGGTAGACTATGACTCTTATGCTGGTTAAGAAGGAAAGGAACACCATGAGACCAGTGTGATTCTGGTGAGGTGGAAGCACTGTTGGAACTGTGCTAAAAAGGAACCAGAAAGAATGAAAATGGGATCCTTGCACTTGAAATGGTAGAGGGGAAGATGACCACAGGATTGAGTTTCCAAGGCAAGGAAACTTGATTGGAGGAAAGGAGAATGAGGAACTGAGAGAACAGGTTATTGAAAAGATCACAGACGTGAATGTGGAAATCCAGAAGAATTATGACAGCATGTTGTAAACCCGAGCCAAAATTTTGAAGGAGTAAGTTGGAGGTGGGCAGAGGATTATTATGAGAAGAACAAGTGTATGTTGGAGTTTAATGAAAGTCAAATTCAGGCCTATTCAGGAGGAAGTAGAAAGAAAGGGATATGGCAGTGAGGAGCTTGAAGGACACTGCCTACACCTCCAGCTTAGACATAGGAGTGATTACCTCCGGACAAGAAGAGGCAGAGTGAATAAGGCCTGGCAGTAATCTGACCTTCCCATAGGACAATGACTCACATCAGAATTGCCTGCAGATGTGTTAATACCCATTTCACCATACCCTGCCTGCAGAATTCTTGGTTTAGTAGGTCTGGGATGGGGCTGAAGAATTTGCATTTTTAACACATTTCTAGGTGACATTGTTACTACTGATTCTGAGATGCACTGCTCTCTTCTAACTGTTCTGCAGGATACTGCCCTACGTTAGAGAAGCTGAAAGCTCCAGAGGTAGTTGATCACCTTCCCCCGTACCAAGTTCATTGGTAGTCAGGTGCACAGCACCTGGAAACAATTGCCAGCCGTGAGCTGATGGAACTGTAGCTCCAACCCCTTGTCTGGCCAGATCTTTTGTTTTCTCGGAGAGACAGACAAAACATAGCTAGCTGCTTACTCATTTGGAGTAGCTGCAATGAGCACAAGACTCTCTTATCAGCCTAGTTAAGGGAAGTTTCAGCTTGGTGGCCATTTGGATATCCAGTGTTCACCCTGCACACACTGCAGAACAGATCTATACCCAGCGAACAGCTCCAAGAATCCGAAGTGGAAGCTAAGTTGTTAACACTCTTCCTCTCTTAGTTAGGACTGGCACAGATGATGAAGAGAAAACAGATTAGTAAGGAAAGGTTCTGTGATTAAGATTCCTCTACTGTTAGCTTTCACCCACTCCTGCTCCCAACAGCGGCCTCCAGACTCTGGTCCTGCTTCCTCTACTATGCCCAACGTTCCTCTTTCACTTTCACAGCTTCTAAATTTTGTTCTCTTCCTCTTCCCAGTCCTCCGCCTATGCACAGGTTCAATTCTCCCCTGTTTTATAGTCACTGTCCTTGTTGCTGAGACACAGTACCCAACACCCACAACTTAAAGGAGAAGAGGTTTATTTTGGCTCACATTTCAGACCATGTTCATCTGGCTCCATGGCAGGATGGCATGGCACAGGGGCGTGGCAGAAGAAAAGCTGATCGTCTCATGGCATCCAGAAAGTAGAGAGAGAAGGGAGGAGCTGAGGAGTAAGGTAAACCCTTCCAGGCCTCTCCTACTGATTTACTTCTTCTGACCAGACTCCACCTCTTAACAGCACAGCTATAAGCCCCCATAATTGAATCACCTTCCGCAAGCCCACATATGAGCTTTGGGAGGGCATCTAGATATAAGCCATAACATCCCCCTTCTAAATAATCCAATTCCCTGTGAACCTCTCAACCTATTGCTCTCACTTGCATTTCCCTTTTTCCACTCAGATTTCTGTTGTAGTGCAAAGCTTACTTTTTTCTTTTCTCTAATGATAGTAAAGACTCATGCTATTTTTGTCTGAATCTATTTTGAGAAACAGACTCAACTCCTGTGGCAGTCAGGGTGCCAAATTGTGGCTTAGAGTGGCTTTAGCCTCTGTAATTTCCTTTGGCCTCCCAAAGCCATCCCACTTAAACATATAATCAGGTACAAAGAGTGAGTTTGCTACAATAAACTTACAAGTTCCTTTACCCATGCTTACCACCAGATTGAAGTGCTAAGCTCCTCTAGGGAGAAATTTAGGGGCTTCTACCAACCTGTCTGTACACGAGGATGTCTCCTTCAGGCTCATACTGAGGTTGAGTCTCAGGTTTAGATCTTGGATGTCAAGTGCATACCTTAGGGATTAGGAGCCTCTGTATGATTGATGAGGACATTAGAAGTATCCCATTGCTTTCTGAATCTCCTAGAACACCTGTTTCCTAAGCTTTCCTGATCATAAAATTGATCTGCATGCTTATTTAAAAATAAACAAGAATTGGGGATAGAGCTTAGTGGTAGAGTGCTTGGCTAGCATGTGCAAGGTCCTGGCTTTGATCCCCAGTGCAATGTCAGTCAGTCAACCAGTCAGTCAAACATATAAATTTGACCCCTCTCTTGAACTTGGGTTCATTAAGTCTGGGAAGGAGCCCAGGAATCTGGCTTTTAACAAGTATCTCAAGTGAGATCTTGGGGATATTCTTTAGCGTTTAGGACCGTATCTGGGAAAACACTTGTAATGATAAACATTTGATGAGGCAGTTTAATTTACTTATGTCCATTATATTACTTCATAGTAACTTCAACTTTTATATTTTCAGTCAACCTTATTTTTCTGTTTTCAAAGTCATATGACTATATGACTTTTCAGTATACTATTCCTGTAAATTATATCAACTTGAGTAGTGAGTATTAGATTAATAATACTGATTGTTTTCATGGTAGAATGGTCTTGTAGAATTGTCTCATATTGGCTATATTTTGTCTTTACCATTATCTGTAAGACAATTTATTGCCTGACTTTGCTGGACAAATGTTGTCTGATGGAATTTCATTGATGTAATAGGAATATTTCATCATTTACTGATAATCAGAAGTGTTTGCAGTTTACCCTGAACACTTATGCTTTATTAAAATTGATATTAGATTTAGCTTCCTAAATCATTTTATAAAGTTAATGTAACATTAATACCAAAACCTAAAAAAGTATCAGAACTTTAATGCCATCCATCATCTTATTTCTCTTCCAAACACAGATGCAGAATTTTAAAATAAAATACTTACAAATAAAATTTACCATTATATGAAAAGAAAAATACAAAACTTCTAGAAATTCAGAGATGACTTGGTGTGAGAAAATATAGTAATGTAATTAATAGTTGAAAGGAGAAAAACAATCTGATGCTGAAAAAGGATTTGATAAACAGCATCTTTCTTAAAGGCTTTTTACATGTGTTTGTGTGTAAATAAGTGTAGATATTAGAGTATGTTTTAAAGCTATAATACTTAAAACAACAGGATACTAGAGAAAGCATAGATGATCAGATGACCAGAATAGAAAACAAAGATCAGGCCCAAGTCAGGTAATGAATACAATATAATTGTGATAGTTCACATTATTCTTGTGGGACAAGAATAAATGATTTGCAAATGGTGCTCTGTAGAGCTTGCAGGCTGAAGCAGAAAATCCCCTCCCCTGAAAGCATTGCTCCACCTTTATCTTAACTAGGACCACTCCTTGTTTACTTGTAAGGTGTATAATGGTTTCTAATGTAAGAAGATTTTTGTATGGAGAAAGCATTGTTTTAAAAAGGTGTTTGAAAAACCACAGGAATAAAAGATGTATGATTAAGTTCAGGTGCATGGAAAGGAATAAAATTAAAATCTTATAATACCAACATAAATTCTAGATTGAATATGAACTAAATGTAAAAAGTGAAACTCATTAAAGAATGAAGAGAATGTAGACATGTATAATATAATTGGACTGGGGTGGGGTGGGAAAAGATTTTCTAAGCATATATATAATGTATTGATAGGTTTCACTGATTAAAAATGCAAAAATCTTCTGTATGTAAAACAACCACCAGAAAGATAGTTACAACTCAAGTGAGAAACTGAGTAAAACATTCTGTAATTTATTATTTAAGAAAGCTTAATAATTTAAATAGGATGTTTTTATGATAAAAAAAAACCAACTGAACCGTCAGTAGAAAAATGTGACAAAGGACATAGGGACAGTTTTTCAAATAGGAAATTTACATGGCCAATAAACATGAGCATGAAGAAATAGTTGGAATAAGTAGTAGTTGAAACAATACAAATATAAAATGTTACATTTTCTCTTTATTTGACAATAATCAGAAGCAATAAAATCAGTATAATCAGTAATATTAATAAATAAACACTCATTTTCATTAAAGGGGCTGGGCAGATACAATTTGTACAACCATTTTGGAAAGGAATTTGTTAATATAGAGCAAAAGATTTAAATTGTCATATCCTTTAATATGGCAATGTTACTTTTCAGAATATAGTGCAAGGAAACAGTCATTTTTGTGCACAAAAATATGTGTAAAAGGAAGTTTGTTAAAGCATTTTGCACAATATGGAAAAAAATGGAAACAAACTATATCCAACAATAGTAAATTATATAGTGTGTGCCTAGAAAAAAAGACTAGGAGAATGTATACTCAAATGTTAGCTTTGTCTAACTTTGAATGTTGGGCTTTTGAATGTTTCTTTTTTTTACATTTTTGTATGTTTAGCAAAATTTTTATCCCAAACACTTACTGTAATTTTAATAATAAAAAATTGAGCAATTTTAGAAATTACTTTTTCAAATTGTAGCTTTTAATTAATCCCATGGTAAGTTTGGATGAAAATTTGTCTCTGATAATTTCTTTACTTTGCTATATTCTAAATCTACTATCAGCATTATCTTCATAAAAGGTAGATGGCATTTTAATTTGCTGAAACAAATTTGGAACAAATCTTTTTAGTCTGTGTTTACAACTTTGTATTCTTGTATGCTTTGGGGAAAATAAGAAATGTTTTTCATTCTTTTTATTAGCTCAATAATTACTTTCTGTAGTTTTCTGCCATGATAGCAGAAAACTTGAAAATGTAATTAAGAAAATTTTCAGGCACAGCAGGAGATTTTGCTGGAAAAGAGAACCTTAAATATGAAACTTGATGATCAAGAGAAAATGGAGCTTGAAGCCCACTACTAAATCTTGACATTTGAGGGAGAGGCACTAACACTGTATCTCTTCAAATTTCTGGGATTACAGTAAAAAAGTGTTTATCTTTTTATCATTACCTTATTACATACTTGACATAATTATTTATTGCATTGGTGATTTCCATGTTACTTTTCCCTTGGATAGTTCAGCTTTTCCTCACTTTATTTTGCAGTCTTGCAAACGCTACATGCTATATCATCTCAGGGAACAGAACAGGCATATTTGGATAATCCTATTCAATTTGAGGTTTTAAACTGGGCATGGCAGCACACGCCTGTAATCCCAGCACTGTGGGAGCCTGAGGCAGAAGGACTGAATGTTTGAGCCCAGGCAAGTTAGTGTTTTACTGAGACCCTGTTTAAATCAGTCAATCAATCAATTAATTAATTTAAAAAGGGTTAGGGATATAGCTCAGTGCAAAGGCCCTAGATTCAATTCTTGGTACTTAAAAAACCAAAAACTGGGCTTTTTCCTTGACCACGGTCAAAACTAGAGTTAGGAGCCCTCCTTACCAGTGGCTATGTGCTATAGAGAAGTTAGGTAATTAATGTATGCTGAAATCCTTATATGTCCAACCTTGCCTAGCCAATATGACTGTGCTTCTTCCTTAGTTCCCAAAAGAAGCTTATTGGTTCAGGAATCTTGTTTTAAATCTGTTTTTGCTGAGATGTGTACTCTGTTCTCCACGTTCCCTACTGTTTCTGTTAGCTGTAATCCTTTCTCAAGTCAGATGAACCACATACTTCCATGATGTTGTCACCCCGTGGCCTCCCCACTTACCAATAAGATAAAATATTGCTGTAGACTCCTTGGGTATCCATGCCAACCAGATGAAACTGACTCTCTTCTTAGGGAATCTGTAGTGTAGTGATCATTAGCTTTAGTGCTCATCCCAACTGAAGAAGTTCCTCTGCCCAGGTTCTGTCTGACTCTGGAATATCTCCTTCCCCACCAGCTTGTACCTAGAGGCTGATCCTCCTTAAATCATGACCATATTTATTCTCTCAGGATAAGGAAATATGGATCTAAAAGGAGAAATTGTTAAAGCTTTAGAGAAAATGTCCTTTTTCTTTAAAATAAATTATGTAAAATATTTTGTTGTATGTAATAGAGATTGCATAAATTTAAGTAGCTTTACCTTGTCTCAAGTGAGGTTAAATTGACCTCATAATCTCTGGGATAAATTGAAGTCTTACTGTTTTAGATCATTTGGAGGGTATATGGGGAAATAGGTCACTTATAGAAAATTTATTTCATAAAATAAAAGGTTTGATAGTTAAATAACTATTAATAATTTTTAAAATAAAGTCTACACATTTTGATGGACAAATAAACAGATAATTCCAGAGACATTTATTGCACAAATCTATCCTCATATTTAGACAGAGGCATTTATAACCTTAAGGAAAAAATTGCTGTCTTGAAAGTCATAAAATAGCAAACAAATACC